TTTCCAAAACCACAAGTTGCTTAAATGTTTCACCTTTTGAAATCTTGAGCTCTCTCAGGAATGAACACATCCATGGGAAACATATCAGAATTTTTCAAGTTACTTTTCCACAAATTATTAACTATAAAGGGTTCAGTATATACATTTTGTAAAAAATGAAAACTTTGTTCACAGTTAATAGATTGCTTAATATTGTGGAAACAGTGATACTTTAATTACTAAAACTGTCATCTGCTTTTGTATATAACAATATTATATGGATGACGGGATTGTGCAACAGACTGAGAGTATAATAATGTAGGTTTTAAAAATTGAAATGGTGTATAGGTGCTTCTTCTGGACCTGTTTATCTTATTTCTTGTCTTTGGGCTCCTTCAATAAGCATCATGTTTGTGCTCCTAATTGTTTTATTTTCCCCTGCCAACCCAGTTTATAATACAAGAGGGGGAAATGGTTGAAAATGTTATTTAATTTTTGGAAACTATCAGGTGAAACTCAAGTGTAGTAAAGTCTCACCATTTGGTATTTCTTAGTGAGATGTCTTAAGTGACAGAAGTATTAATTGAGTAATTTCTAGAGCCACCACTGAAAACTTCTGAAAGACACAACTGCTTTAACAGAGCAAAAAGAGATACTTTATGTGTGCTAATGCAAATTGTGGAGCATCTCTTTCAAATGCTTTGCACAGCTCTAATATCTAGTAGGGCGGTCTAGAGATCCAGGTTCAGAAGGTGAAATGTGGTTTGGGGTGTATGTGGGTATACACATGGCACCTATTGGAAACCTTCAAGTAGCTGCATCTTTTACTAGGCTCATGCAGCTTCCCTCCACAGCTTATGTACAATCATTGGAAAAACATGTTTGGGGTAAGGGGCTCCTGACAGTTGTGGTATGTGCATTTATATATGGTCCAAATAATCTCAATTCAACCATGGTTTTCTCAGTCTTCTCTTTCCTTTCAATCTATTTGCTCTTCCATCATATATTTGTTTTGCAACTTCTAGTTTATTCTTTCTACATAACCAACTTATATCAGTGTACTTCTTTCACACTGTTCACTCACTTTTGTGTTCAGTCCACAGGCATTCAGCATCCATTCTTTATTTTGGAGAGGGGAATAACTTTATTAATTTTTTAAACAAGAAAGATAAAAACTAACAAGAAGTAATATTTAAGATAAAAGAAAGAAAACATTCATTCATTATTGATCCTTTCTTTTCATGTTTTTTCTATACACTTCAGTACTTTATTCCCGTGTTCAATTTTTTTATGTCTCTTGACTCTCAACTCCCACTTATATCTGACAAAGAGGGTAGAAGTATACTCTTATATAGAGCCATTTTCACATTTTTCAATATTCATTCTTTACAACAGACCATGTACTTACTGAGTATCATTCTACCAGCATTTGCGTGTCTTAAAACTTCATTTTTAATGCATGTTCTACTAAGGTACATACATTTATTTATCTCCTCTAATTTTTTTTGAGATGCATACTGTCTCACCCATTGGGGGGAGATGGGTGGCATACAAATTTAATAAATAAACAAATAAATAAATAAATAAATACTGTAATTTATTTATCTCCTCTAATTTTTTTTGAGATGCATACTGTCTCACCCATTGGGGGGAGATGGGTGGCATACAAATTTAATAAATAAACAAATAAATAAATAAATAAATAAATAAATAAATAAATAAATAAATAAATACTGTATATAACTTGCAATTATTCACTTTATTTGCTTGTCACATGGAGCAAAAATTTAATATGTCCTGTAAATGCTGCCATCAAAGCTACATTGTATTTTTGCAATTTGGGCATGAATTGCTCATTGTTTCAATTTCTTCCCTGAATTCTTCTAAAAATTTTAAAAAGTATAAGTGTTTAATCTTGTACTATTATAAACAAAGAATGTACATTGCCATTTTGTCTACATTGTTTTGTCTGATGAGGTATAGGTACGATTGCTAAAATGTAATTGTTGAATGGTCATTATAAAAATCATCCTCCAAATCCTAAATGTTTGTTCCTCTTTTTGCCAAAAATATTTCAATGAATAGAAACCACTGAAATTATGGGTTTATGTCTTATCTCTACTGAGAAGTGAAATAGCTGAGTGTTGGAAGTTGAAGTATGCAGAGCTTTCATAGGAATACTTATGTTTGGTTGATTTATTCTTTTAAACAGATGGACAGTAGTAGGAGGTGTAATTCTTTCAGCATAAAAAATTATTATCCAGTGTTACTGCTTGTGTGGGTGGTGCGAGTCTTTGTATCAGCACACTTGAATAGTGTGCTTGTTTCTGAGCTAGGCTTCCCTCTACATAGCTAGTCAAGAACATTAAAAGAGTTCTGCATTTACATCTATCAATTTGTTAATTTTTAAAACTTGTTTTTGTCACAAGAATAGCATTGAGAATAATTGTGTTCTCCCTCCTATTGTTTCATTGCTCTGTAAGCCTGGAATTGCAGTGGATGGTTGCACTGGTCTAATTCTATTTAGCTTGAAGGTATAGTGTTTAATAATAATAAGGTGGACAAACTGGAACAAGCTACGTTATAATCTTAAGAGTTTATATTTACACTTGTAATATTTTGTCCAGGATTTTAAAAAGGAATCTGACTCTGACGTTAAGGGGTGTGTGTGTGTGTGTGTGTGTGTGTGTGTGCCCAGTTCCACTTGTGCTGCTTCCAGCTGCTTTTTCCCCTAGAGGAACCTGTCTTCTGCTACATACCCATCAAGAATAATTGCACCATCTGGAAGACATTTATGTACCTGTGACTTGGGTAGAATATCTCTAGGGACATGGATTCAGGTAGAATGTGAATATGACCCCTGAAGCCATTTCAGGTGATTGCCGTAGCTTCTGGTTACTAAAGGAGGATTACCTTAGGGTTTATTTGTTTCAAATCTCATGCAATTTACTTTAGTGAAGACTGAGTCCATGTCTCTAATATAAGTCTATTCATAACTGGATGGATAGAAAAAAAAGTTTAATTCTTAGCTCACAATTTGGAAAGGAAAAATAAATAATCTTAGGGAACACTGGATGGTACAGATCATATGAATGGATGCTATATGAATTTGTGCCTATGTTCTTGCTTAATAGCGTCCGCTATTTCCCTGTATAGAGTTGCTATGAATTAGCAGCTGTTTTTCTCATTAGAATGAAGTATTTCACAGGTTGGTGCTTCTTCACTGTCTCTATATTCTATTTTTACGTATTTTCTGTCATATGGTAATAGACTTCATTTACATTTTCATTCAACCTCAGTGAAGATGGATGTGTAGACGGAACTTTTCTTCTAACTTTAGAATTTTGAGCATCTAGTTTGAATACTGATTTCATTTAAATCAGTTAAACAACTTGCAAAATACCTTCAGGGTTAACTGCTTAACCATACAATCTCTTATGCTATAGTATATTAATTTTATTTGCATTTGTACACCCTTCTCTATACATGCTTTTTGAAATGAACCTTCCCCTTGAATATGCGTCTAATACAGAAACTGTTGCTCTAGAAATTTTACAACAGTGAGAAATACTACATACAAATACAATGAGTCAAATATCAAATATATCTTATGAAGTTCTAATAAACAGAATCCAATGTGAGAAATACATATTGGTTTTCCAGAACCACATTGTGTACAGTTTTCTTCTTTCAATTTAAAAACAACCAAGTTTGCAGCATCTGGCTACTGCTTAACATTATGAAAAATAAAAGATTTCCAAAGTTCATGTAGTGTTCTTAGCAACAATCAAAATGATTTGTCATTGCCTTCTTCTGGGAGTTTTGTGTGTTTGATTTTCCAATCTAGCCTATAGCCCTGAGACTCCCTGATGGTCTCCCATTCAAGTACTAACCAGGTCTGACCCTGATTAGCTTTTTGGAGATCTAGGTTATGCTACTTTTATTGTACTGTGGCAGCATCATAGTGAACAGTAATATTTTCTGTAGTTCACAGAAAGGAGTTGGTTTTGCATAGCTCCTTCAGAGTTCAACCCCAAATGCTTAGTACTGTCTGAATGCATACTTTCCAGGAAGTCCCAGTATTAATGGTATGCATGTGATTATTAATGGCTAGAAATTTAAAATGTGGAGGGCAATGTTGAAGCAATCCCAAAATAAAACCAGTCTAGATAGGCTCCCGCCATCCCCACCAGCCCCTTGTTGAACTAGGAAAAGGATGTATAACCATTTGGAATTTTGAGAGCATATTATCTGTGGTGGATATGGCCAGTCACAAAATACCAATTTATCAGAAGACACACTGGTAAGCTTGCTCCCCATCATCCACTTTAATATTTCAGGTTGTTCTCTACCCTCTCAGCTTGCCTTATTCCTTTTTTCAGGGAGATATATATATATACGTCCAATAAAGCACTGAGATTCAGTCTTGTGTCATTTTGACTTTGTACAAATGCCTCTGGAGTGTATGGAGGGACAAGAAGCATTCTTGGAAGTAACAATTCAGCTTGAGGCTGGTACTTAGCTTTGTGCACACCAATTTTCAATTTAGTTTAATTTTTAAAGATTCTTTTAATTAAAAAAAAGTAGGACATGGAATAAACACTGTTGCCCAGGTTTTAAAGCTCTGAACTACGAAATGCTCAGCTAGAATAGTCAGTAGACACAATAATTGAGAATTCTGTGACTAGTGGTCCTGGCAAACTGAAGGGCGTCAGGATGGGAACATTGATGTATAAGCACAACTTTGGGTTTGATCTGGTTGAGAAAGTGGTCTGAATCATGGTTTAAAATATCTTTACATGATCAGAAATAACCATTGTTGAGCATATTCAAAATAATCTGCTCAGTATTTAAATGGTTATTCAAATTGGATTTATAACTCATCGAAGTCCACCTTTCGGAATATTATATGTACAATGAGTGCTTGTTGTTGTATGAAGCTAACACATTTGATCAAAAATAAATTTAGGAGAATTCTGTGTATTGTTTAGACTTATTTTATTCTTTTTCCTCTTTGCTAGGGGCTTTGTGTCTGATAGCAGAAACAATTTGCAGATGAGAGGCCTGGTGATTTTACTTGTGTCTAAGGCTGCTGGCCCCAACTTATCAACAGAAAGCTCCATTCAGAATGACATTGTCAGTGGGATATATTCCAGGCAAGTATTTGGATAATCTAAAAGAACATATAAGTTGTCATCTTTATGTTAATATATATTTACTTTAAATAATATGTATGGTAAATTTTTGTGACTTCACTTAAAAAAAACATTAAAATAATTTATGGGGAAAAACATTGCCTTCCATCAATTCAATATCTGATCTTAATGTACAGCATAAGATTAGGCAGTGTTCTGTTTTAAATACAATATTTCTATAGCATGGCAAAATTATTCTCAGTGTTTATTTAATTTATATATTGTTTGCACTCTGTATCCCACACTTTTTAAAAAAAATATAGTTGCATGGAGAAATATGTCTTCACACAACTATTCCAGGGTTGCAGGAAATATTTTTTAAAATTTATTATTACTTGTTTATCTCCCCTTATCCTACCCCGTATCCTACCCCTACCCCAACAACCTTGTGAAATAGATTGGGCTAATAAGTTCCTTGGTCAAGTGGGGACTTAGCAGGATGTTAGCCACTACAGTACTCTTGCAATATCTTAATTACTGTACAGTTATGCAGTTACTTAATGTGGATATTTGGTTATATGTGGCTAGCTATGAATACTTCCTTTAAAAGTCAGTGCTGATACATGGAAACAAAATGCCTTCCTTATATGCCCCGAAACTAGACAAACCTGTTCTATTTCATGTTTACCATGAAGCCTATTCTTTACATTCTCATTAGCCTGAAAGTTGTTTTACTGTACATTATGGAAAGCAACAGAAAGCTTAGCTGCTAAAAATGTCCATCACTTCCATCATTCTTTTGAAATGGAAGTTAAATTCAAGCAACAATATACTTTTGCTTTTCATTTTTCTTACTTCTCTCATAGAAGAGGGGAGAAGTATATCAGGAAAAGGACTGAACTTCCCCATAATCTGAAGAAAATACCTTCATGTAAATGTTTGCTTGTCTAAAAATTGGTATATTTTTATCAGATTACTTTTGCTCTAAATACTCCTGATTATAAATTCCTGATTATTCTAGCAGAAATGGTGTGTGGATTATTGGTTAGTCATTGGAAGTTTAAAGTTGACTACCTTTTCAAAATCCATGAGCTGTCTCTAATATCCTTTATTACTAAGAATTACCAAAGTAATGAGTATGAAATCTCATGTGGTTGTTTTCAGTGATTAGTAAGCTAGGGGTCATCATTCAGGGCAGTCACACATTACTTTCCCCTGATTTTTGTTAATGAAAGCAGCAATAGGAAGATGCTATCTTAATAAAAGAGAGCATGGGAGAAGGAAAGAAACTTTTACTCATGGTTGGTGTGAGTCTTCCGGGCTGTGTGGCCGTGTTCTGGAAGTTTTGTTTCCTAACGTTTCGC